GGCGGGCCAGAGAGGGGCCAGCCCAGAGGCGGCTGGCGGAGGGCCGCCCCAGGCGCGCAAGAGACAGCGCCTCACGCACCTGAGCCCCGAGGAGAAGGCGCTGAGGAGGTGGGCGAGGGGCCGGGGTCTGGGAACCGATCTGAAGCCGGGACAGCGGGCTGAGGGCCAGGGCCAGGCGCTGACGACCGCGCCCTGCTCGGGAGCCCTGGGCCTGGCGGGTCCAGTGCCAGCGTGGCGCGGGGCGGGGCGGAGCAGGAAGCCTGGACTGACCCGGATCCTTCGCGCTGGGTGGAGTCCATGGCTACCTGGGCTTTTTCTTTACTTCTGTCATTAAGGACGACCGGACTGGGGATGCAGGCACCTGCGTTCCTGCTCGCCTGCCCGGTGACCAGCCCTGTCTTTCAGTCTTTCTGTACTTCGGGTGTAACTTGAGTCGAATAGCCTCTTCTTAGTTTACCTGCTTTTTTGGAGAGGTCTGTTCTTAGTGGATCTGCTCTTTTGAAAGAGCACAGAGCTAAAAAGACAGGGCTGTTGAACGGGCTCTGGAAGGCTCCCAGGTCAAGCTCAGGCTGCGTCCTTAAGATGGTACCTACTTCAGCTCTAACGTTGGGGAGAGGGAGACATGGGCTGCTGTGAGCACTAGCCCTCCGGAATGTTCATTCCTGTCTGATGATTGTGCCTTTGGTGATTTACGAAGTGTCTTCTGAGCAAACACAGGTCAAGGTTTCAGCTTCTCCTTTACCTGAGTTGGATGCGGGGAGCGAGGGCTGATGTCATAGCTGGATTTCAACCCTGGTAGATTTAATCAGTCCAAGTTGGATCCAGTTTGAGGGAATTGCAGTCAGAAAGCAGCGAGGAGTAGGAGGGGGAGGAGGAAAGTTTCCCTTATGATGCAAGATGAATGGTGCAGTGTCCAGCCCCACGTGGGCCTGCTGAGACGGAGGTGGATGATGCAATATGGGAGAATGAAGCAGGTCTTCAAGATCGATTGACAGAGGCTGTATTTTTTGTTTTGTTTTATTGAGGGGAGGAGCCGAAGTGTATTTTCCCATTAGTCTACCTTATACTGTAAATGGAAATGAAAGCACCAGCTGGCTAAGTTTTCAAATAAAGATATAAATAAGTTTGGAGGTGACTCAGTGTGGTATGTTCCTTCTCTTCGCAGAAAACTGAAAAACAGAGTTGCAGCTCAGACTGCCAGAGACCGAAAGAAAGCTCGAATGAGTGAGCTGGAACAACAAGTGGTAGATTTGGAAGAAGAGGTAAAACTACCTAAGGCCCAACCCTCTTAGCCATTGTGTTTCCTTCCTCTGTGAATGTTCTGATATCTGCTGCACAATCTAAGTTGTTTCAGTCCTTTTAGAATATGATTGAATCTGTCATTAGAAGTTAAACTCCAACCATCCCCCTAGCCTAGTGGTTAAGGGAGCTGGATTCCAAATGGTTGACTATAGTTCAAATCTTGGCCCAGGAGGCTTGAAAAATACACCGGGCATGTGTGTGTGTCCCAAATCCCAGAAGGATAGAGAATTGGATTGTAGTGTGATCATGCCCCATTGTTGGGGATCTTTTCTCTATTTCTCAATAGTGAACTTACATGCCCTCTGACAATGAAAAAAAAGTTAAAAAAAGAAAGGAAATGAAACAAAAAAGTTATACTAATCCAAGTTAGGGTAATACTATGAATTAGGTAGTTGATGAAGTGGTGAAGCTTATTGAAAGCAGAAGTGATTGGCTCTTTGGCATTTGGAGCTAGATCTATCTCAGGGTTGGTGATTTCAGTATTTAGTGAGTTAGTACTAAGAAATTAGCAAGAGCAGATAGGAAATCATTGCTTAAATTTGCCAGATTCTTCCTGACTTGACAAGAGTTCTCTAGAAGTTCCTTTCCCCTTCTATGGTTTCATCTTAAATTGCTGCCAGTTATACATCTTGGATACATATGGATTATTTATATATATTTATTTAATTCTGCTATAAGGCACGTATGCTCACTGGAGAGAGAGAGAGAGAGAGCAGAGAAAGAGAGAGCAGAGAAAGCAATCCCCCAGAGGAGATGGTCATGCTGCAATCCCTTCTGTATTTTTCCTTTCTGGATTTTAGGCATGCACATACACATACCTGGCATGTTTTTCTTTTCTTTTCTTTCTTTCTTTTAATAATTATTTAACGTTATTTATCTATTTGTGTATTTATTTTAATTTGACCAGAGAGGGACAGAGTGAGAGACAGAGAAAGTGAGAAAACAAGCCTCCAGTTCTGGAATTCGAACCATGGTCGGCCATGTGGGAGTCCAGCGCCCTTAACCACCACTCCAGCTGCCCCCTTTAACGCCCCCCCCACCCTGTATTTTTCAAGGTGAATGGTCTGGAACTTAAATTGTACAGTTGGCCATGTGGGATCCAGCTGCCTTAACCACCATACTGCTGGGTGGCCCTATATTGTTCTTTTTAAAGTTTGAATCATTAGCTGGCTTATATAAGAAACATGAGTCATTCAGGAGCAGTTTGCTTTTACTTATTTTGGTTTTATAGTCCATTACTCCCACTATCACTTTTATTATTACCTGCTGGTTTAAGCTAGTATTATTTTTTTCCTTTATTCATGATAGAGCTCATGCATATATGTGTGAGAGAGCGAGATGAATGCTTCATAGAATCTGGTCATGCCACAATCCCCTTCCTCCAGTCCTCCAGCCCATTGGACCTTGGGTTCTTGTACGTGTGCCTGGCATGTTTTCAGGCCAGCTGGGCCACCGTCTTGAACAGTATTTGCTATGTGGGATTTAGTTTCTCTCTTTTATTTTTAAAATTTGCTACAGGGTACGTGCATTTGCCATAAACAAAGAGATCTGGGAAAGGTGAGAAAGCACCTCCCAATGGCTATGACCACTTTGCAATCCCTTCTCTTCCATTCTCCTCTCGGGATCTTGGGCACGCGTGTACACGTGCCTGGCGTGAGTTTTAAGCCACCAGATCCAGGACGCGAACTGCGATCGACTACGTGGGAGTTCAGCGACATAGCCATTACGCTAACTGCTGGTGTGTTTTTCAAGTTGCTGGGTCTGGCACTTGAACCATGCTGTTGGCTATGTGGGATCCAGCCTTTTTAACTGCCATGCCACCGGGTGGTCCAGATTTAGCTTCACTTAAGCAGCACATTACCTGCTCTACAGAGCTAGCACTAGTATTTTCTTTCTTTAACATATCTTTTTTTTTTTTTTTTTTAAGTTTTTTGCCATAGTGCTCATGTGCTCTTCAGACAAGAGAGAGATAGTGAGAGGGGAAAGTGAGAAGTCACCCTGTGGGTGGGGTGGCCATGCCGCAACCCCTTCTCCTCCAAGGATTTTGGGCACACATGCATACATGCCTAGCATGAGTTTAAAGTCTCCAGGTTCGGGACATGAACCATGATCAGCCATGTGGGAGTCCAGCGTCTTAACCACTACGCCACCTGCTGGCCCCAATCTTTTTTTTTAACATCTCTAAATGCCATATGTCACCCTTTCCTGAAGTCTATATTAGTAGTTGGAGGCACTGTGCTATTTTTGACCCCATGAAATAGCTTACTTTCCATAATTCTGGCCTAGCCTTCTAATACCTACTATGAATAACTGCATAAGCAAAGATTTTTCTCGCCCAGAAGTTCAAGATTGAAAGGAAACCAACTGTAGTGAAAACTGCAGTTGGCCATGTGGGAGTCCAGCACCCTTAACCAGCACGCCACCTGCCGGCCCCAGAGTAAGGTGTTTTAATAGTCTCTTACGAATTTTTTTCCAGAACCAAAAACTTTTGCTAGAAAATCAGCTTTTACGGGAGAAAACTCATGGCCTTCTAGTTGAGAACCAGGAGTTAAGACAGCGCTTGGGGATGGATGCCCTGGTTACTGAAGAGGAGACGGAGGCGGAGGCCAAGGTAAATCATATCCTTTGTTCGGTGCTGCATGTGAGAATTGGTTCCAAGTCACATGACCCAATGGTTATGTTTATGTTCTAGGCCTCTGATTAAGGGTTCTAGACATTTTCCTTTCTTCTTTCTTTTTTAAAGAATTATTTTATTCAACTTTATTTATTATGATGATTATTTTCTAGCTTGATCAGAGAGAGACAAAGAGAGAGGGAAAGTGAGAAAGCAAGCCACCAGGTCCAGGACGTGAACCATGGTCGGCCATATGGGAGTCCAGCACCTTTAACCACCACACCACCTGCCGGCCCCCATTTTCCTTTCATTTTAAGACATTTCCATACAGGCAGGGTATTCTTTAACAACACATTATTTTATCCAATATGTAATGAATAATACTAAATCCCAATGATAAAAATAAGTTACATGGCTCTCTAAGAACAAGAACTAACAAATGCCAAATAAACCAACAAGGTGTACCATGTAAGTATTGAGGACTGGGGGAGGAAAGCCAGTCAAATCAGATTTTGAGTGCTATGAAAAAATATAATAGTTCATTGATAAATATGAATGAATAGGGAGAGGATTTGTTGCGATAGTGGCAGTTCTCTGATAAGAGAAGGGTGATGTATGAAGAAACTTGAAAGAGTTCATGGAAAAATGGAATTAACCCTGTGAAGGGTGCTCATATATCTCTCTCTATTTCTGTATTCCATCTCTGTCACCCTCACATGTACACACAAGTGGTCTATCATAAACTTTTTAAAAAATTACAAAAGACTTGATTCACTGTCACAGAACTGTACCTAGTTATGTTTAGAGAAAAACAAAGCAAGAACCAAAAGAGAACTTGTCAAAAGTCAAAAAAATACTTGCTTGTAAATATATTAAAAAAAAAAAAAAAACAGAAGAAAGAAAGAAAAAGGGAATTAAAGTATGAATTTGATTTGGTACAAAAAAAATTTTGAAATCCCAGGACCAGCAGTTGGCGTAATGGCTATGTCGCTGGACTCCCATGAAGTCAACCACGGTTTGAGTCCTGGACCTGGTGGCTTAAACTCACGCCAGGCGTGTGTGTGTGTGTGTGTGTGTGTGCCCAAGATCCTGAGAGGAAAATGGAGAAGGGATTGTGGCATGGCCATCCCCTCTGAGGGATGATTTCTCGCTTTCTGTCTCTGTCTCTCTCTGTCTTTCTGGCGAGTGCACATTCCCTTTAGCACAAACCTCTCCCCCTCCCACACACAAAAAATGTGAAATCCCTGCATGATTTTTATATAATATACATTTTCTACTAAAGGTTTTGAAGATGGTTCATATGAGTTTTAGTCTGACTTGTGTCAAATTCAATGAAACCAATTAAAGTCTTGGATTGACAATATGGCAGTTTTAAGTCTGTAAAGAGAATGTTCAGGAAGAACTTTAAAAATTTCAACTATAAAAGAGTTGGGCCAGCCCTGTGGCCTAGTGGTAAAGGGAGCCAGATTCCAAACGGTTGACCTTGGTTTGAATCCCAGCTCTAGCAGCTTGAAAAACATTCTGAGCACATGTATGTGTGAGACAGAGAGAGAGAGAGAAAGGGAAAGGGAAAGGGAAAGTGAGAAAGCAAGCTGTCAGGTTCGAGACTCGAACTGTGGTTGGGCATGTGGGGATCCAGAGCCTTTAACCATCATGCCCACCTGCCAGCCCCTATTATATAATTTTTTAAAGAATATTGTGCGACCAGCAGGTAGTATGGTGGTTAAGGAGCTGGAATCCCACATGGCTGACTGTGGTTTGACTCCTGGACCAGGCGGCTTGCTTTATCAGCTCCCCCATCTTTCTTTGTTCAAAATAATAATAAGTAAAACTAAATAATTCTTTTAAAAATTATCGTACTGAGACAAATATCATTAAGGCATTTATCAGTCTTGCCTGAATCTTTGCTTCGAGAGGAAAACTGTTTCATTGCACAGAAAACGACAATGAAAAGTTAGTCTTACCTCCCTTTTCTCATTTCTTGAGGAGGACTTAAGAAAATGGAGGATTCAGCCAGGGTGGTGTGCACTGCTAAGATGCTGTGCTCCACAGTCTGGGACCACATGGGAAGCCCGGGTTTGATTCCTGGTCCAGCCTAAAGGCCAGGCATGGTGGTGCACACTTGTTTAGTTCCCAGGTGGGAGGCCAAGGCAAGAGGACTGTAATATGGCAGGATCCTGTCTTAAAAAAGGAAATGGGGGAAAAAATGTAAAGATTTCAGCTCTGAAGAAGTTTTCTAACTTTCTTATGAGCTTCCTAGTGAGCATTTCCTTAGGGACTCACGGTTACTTATTCACTTTGGTTTTTTCTCTCAGGGGAATGGAGTGAGGCCGGTGGCCGGGTCTGCTGAGTCCGCAGCACTCAGACTACGTGCACCTCTGCAGCAGGTGCAGGCCCAGCTGTCACCCCTTCAGGACATCTCCCCATGGATTCTGACAGCGTTGACTCTTCAGACTCTGAGGTAGGGATCACTTGGACTTACCAAGACCTATATAACTAGCTAATTCCACCTATTCGATGCCTGGCATTCCTAACCAGACAAAGGCAGAAGTTAGTTTTGGTGGGGTCAGAAGTGAACATCAATTACTGTCCTAGTGCCAGATGTTTTAGGTCATGGAGCGAGATCTACATAAATGGGTCTTGTGGGTCCTGAGGTCATCTTGGAGCATAATGGTTAATTTACAATATGGAACCCAGTACTGGGTGCTCTAGATAGATTCTTACGTGCATTCTGATAGTTACACTCTGTTTCATTTTTGCCTCTTCCAGTCTGATATCCTGTTGGGCATCCTGGACAACTTGGACCCAGTCATGTTCTTCAAATGTCCTTCCCCAGAATCCACCAGCCTGGAGGAGCTCCCTGAGGTCTATGCAGAAGGACCCAGTTCCTTACCAGCCTCCCTTTCTCTGTCAGTGGGGACGTCATCAGCCAAGCTGGACGCCATTAATGAACTGATTCGTTTTGACCACATATACACCAAGCCCCTAGTCTTAGAGATACCCTCTGAGACAGAGAGCCAAGCTAACGTGGTAGTGAAAATCGAGGAAGCACCTATCAGCCCCTCAGAGAAGGATCACCCTGAACTCATTGTCTCAGTGAAGGAGGAACCTACAGATGACTTCATTCCAGAGCTGGGTATCTCCAATCTACTTTCTTCCAGCAACTGCCTGAAGCCATCTTCCTGCCTGCTGGATGCTTATAGTGACTGCGGATATGAGGGCTCCCCTTACCCCTTCAGCAACAGCATGTCCTCTCCACTTGGTGTAAACCATTCCTGGGAGGACACTCTTTTTCCCCAACTGATTAGTGTCTAAGAAGTGACCCTGTCACCCTTTCCCTTGACTGTCACACTGCCTGGAGGATAGATGAGAAACATGTTTTCTATGCTTCATTCAAAAAGCCAAAGTAGAGGGTGCACAGTCCTAGAGAATTCCTCTAAGGTATTTGTTTGTTCAAACCTCATAGATGATCCCAAACATTGTCTTTTAACATCCAGCGGTCCGTTGTATTCAACTATATTACTATAATTCAGAACTACAGTCTTTGGTTTGCTTTTATCTTGAGGACTGTAGTTCTGTAGTTTGCCCTAAAGTATAAGGGACATTGGACAAGCGTCTTAAAGTAGTCATGGAATTTATGGCTGGCCCTTTATCATTTCTCTTCCCCCTTTTCTGCATCCCGGGCTTGCCTCTGATTTTAGGTCTTTTAGTTTGCTTCTGTAAGCAGAGTGAATACCTACCTGAGGGGGCTCCTTTTCCCTCATGTACAGTTCAAGTAAAGATCAAGAATCTTTTGTCAAATTATAGAAATTTACTATGTAAATGCTTGATGGAATCTTTTCCTGCTAGTGTAGCTTCTGGAAGGTGCTTTTTCCATTTATTTAAAACTACCCATGCAATTAAAAAGTGCAATGCAGCATCTTTGTTCTTTGTTTCCTTCTAGGTTTTAGAAGAAATGTTTGCCATGGTAATAATTTATCTAACAAAAGTGAGCAGGGCATTTAAAAAAAATATTTTGCTAGAGGGCACACACACTTAATGTAGAGTGAGTGAGCAAGCATGCACTCCCATGGAAGATGGCCATGTCACAATCTCTTCTCCTCCAGTTCTCCTTCTGGGATTCTGGACATGTATGCACATGTGCCTAGCATGTTTTTCAAATTGGAGAGACTTGATAACATGATCATCCTTCATGATGGGAAGATTCCATTTGGAAATCTTATAAGATATTAAAGGACTTGCTCTACTTATAGAATTTATTTCACTGGGGCCAACCGTGGTTGTGAAGGTGTTAGTTCCCCCACAGCCAACTCCACGGTTAAGTCCTGGACCCTTGAAAAACACATTGGGTACGTGTGCATGCATGCCCCAAATCCCAAGAAAATGGATTGAGGTATGTCTGTCTTCTGGGGGTAAGGGTGATTTCTCACTTTCCCCATCTCTCTGTCTCTGGTGATTGCAAATGCCCAATAGCAAAAAAAAAAAGAAAGAAAGAAAATTCACCTATGCCAGCAGATGAAATCATTCTGTTTTTAAAATTTATCTATACATGAGAGAAAACACATGTATGTGTGAGAAAGAGTGAGAGAAGCACCCTTGACAGTTCTGGCCACACCAATAATCCCCTTTCCCCAGCCCTCCAGCTCATCAGGACCTTGGGGCCACATGCATAACCCAAGGATCAAACCCACAGAGGTTGCAAGCACTGCAGTTCAGTTTGCAGCAGACTGTACCGCCAGGCTGGGCCAGTTTCCTATTATTAAGACTATGGGGAGGTCAAAGTGAATGAGACAAAGGGAGGCAGGATTCAGGGAATTCTAAGCAAGGCAAAGACGACTATAGTTTTAATCAAGTACAAGGGACTATTTGGTGTGGGGACTGGAGGCACATTTCAAGTCAAGTCAGCCTAACAGTTGAAGGGAGAGCCCCTGATAGGCCATGTGGGAGTCCAGCACACCAAGCAGTGTGCCACCTGCTGGGCCCATCAAAACCCAATCTTAGTGCTCAGCAATGCAAGCTTGCTTAGGCTCACTTTCCGTATTGTAAATTAAAGACAACCTCTAGCTGCATGTTTAAAAACTTTATCTCACCTGATTTTCTGTAACTCTGAACACTTTAATGCCAAGGATCTATTTAAGGATTGTATAGGCAAATGTCAGCTACAGATGCATCTGAACCTCTGTAATAGCACAAGCATCTGGAGATTGAGGCTCACGTCATTTACATTCAATGACACCATATGAAAGAGGCAGCTGCACTAGGAGGACAAGGACATACATAACCTGTATAGATTTTCAAGGTTTTCATTTCCTACACAGATGGGTAAAAATGACTAAACAGTGTGCTCAGCCTTGAGAAAACACCTGGTATTCAAAGACATTTTCATACTCAAACACCAAATTGAATGGTTAGAAATGAAAATCAAGACCATTCCAGAAAACCAAAACAAGATTTCCACTAAAGACAGAGGGTTGTCCCATAATTGAGATGAAAGATAATAGGTGACAAGATGCCTGCATACTATTTTTTCGAGCTTTGCCACACCAACCTATGTCTATCTCCTGGGTTTTCTACTAAATACGGTATGAAGCAAAGACAAGGCAGAGACCGAACTGTAGGCAGTAGTTCCTTCTGAAGAAAATATCTGAAGGTATCAGTTAAATTCTAGTCTCCCGGGGGACCAGCAGATGACATAATGGTTACTTCGCTGGACTCTCATGTAGCTGACTATGGTTTGAGTCCTGGACCTAGCAGCTTAAAACACACACTGGGCTGGGAATAGCAGATGGCATAATGGTTACTTCACTAGACTCCAAAGTAGTCTACTGTGGTTTGAGTCTTGAACTCAGTGGCTTAAAACTCACACCAGGTTGTGTAGCAAAAATCTCTAAGAAAAAAAAAACAAAACTCAAATTGGGTACATGTGCATGCATGCTCAAAATCCTGAGAGGAGAATGAAAGAGAAGGGACTGTGGCGTGGCCATCTCTGCTGGGAAGTGATTTCTCGCATTCTGTTTGTCTCTCCAGTGAGTGCACACACTCTACACCGAAAATCTTTAAAAAAAAATTCTAATTTTCTAAGCATTAAATCTTTACCCTTGAGACTCCCCCCCCCCCCCTTTTTGCTCTAGAGGGTGAGTGCACTTGCTGGAAGGAGACACACAGAGATAAAGTGAGAAGTCACTCCCTAGGGGGGATGGCCACATTGCTATTCCTTCTCCTTCCTTGTCCTCTTGGCATTCCAAAATGGAATCCATTCAGGATTTTGGGCACACATGTACACACGCCCAATATGATTTTTAAGCCACTGGGTCTGGGACATGAACCATGGTCAGCCATATGAATCCAGTGCCGTAGCTACCATGCTACCTGCTGGCCCTGTATCTTTTTTTTACCCCCCTAATTTGCTAGAGGGTACATGAACTTGCTGGAGAGAGAGAGAAAGTGCAAGAAAGTGCTCTCACACCACCCGTGGGAATGGTCACAATGCAATCCCTTCTCCCTCATTTCTTCCTTTCAGGATTCTGGGCATGCATGCACACATTCTCAGTGGTTTTTTTCAAGCCACTGGAACCAGGAGTTGAACTGCATGGTAGGCCATGTGGGATCATGCTGCTTTAACCACCAGTCCACAGGCCTACTTTTAAAAAATGCTATTGTTGGGGGCTGGCAGGTAGTATGGTGTTTGGGGAACTTAACTCCTACATCGCTGACCATGGAAGTCCTGGACTTGGCAATTTGCTTTCTCACTTTCCCTCTCTCTCTGGTCGAATTTAAAACTAACAATAATGATGAATAAAATTACATAATTTTTTTTTTTTAAATGGCATTGTCAGGATCAGCAGATGGCGCAGTGGTTACGTTGCTGGACTCCTGCATGGCAAATTGCAGTTTGAGTCCCGGACCCAGTGGCTTGAAAATCACACTGGGCGCATGTACATATGTGCCCAAGATCATGGGAGAATGGACTGTGGTATGGCCATGCTCCTGGGGCTGATTTCTCACTTTCCTTCCCCATCCCCCAAGCAAGTACACACACCCTAAAGGCAAAACCATAAAAATAAATAAATAAATAAATAAATAAATAAATAAATAAATAAAACGTCACTGTTGGGGACCAGGTGGTGGCACAGTGGTAATGGAGCATACTATGAGGTTGATCCACATTGGAAAATTACCTGGTTTGCACCTGGAGACCTTACTGAATACACTGGCAGTTCACATGCCCTGGGGCTCACTGAGGCTGGGGCTAGCATGTGACCTGGAGACCTTGTTGGGATGCCTATCTGCCTCAGTGAGGAAAGAAGAAACTTTAAAAACTAAAATAAAATACCACTGGTAGTCTAAGTAGGAAATTAACAGAGCTAGGTGATTTGAACAAAACAGATATACACAAAACTATATTTCGTCAAAGAGTTTAATTTACACTGCTTGAATCCCACTTTGTTGTAGATTATTCACTGTAAAACCAGCTAATTGGTCAAGTGGAATGAACATTGGACCTGGTGAGTTGGATTATACTACTTAATTGTCACTCATTATTTTAGACTTTAGTTTCCTAATCTGTAAAATAAATAAAATTAGATAACTTTTAGCTGTGCTTTCCAAAGATTGGTTAACAATCTTGCCCAACAAGTCAGAGACCCAGATTTATCAAGAAATGACTGTAAACTTGCAGGCAATACTGCCCCCCAGTGACCTGTCAGATCTTAAGAAAGGAAGAACCATTAACTGAACACAATATAACTTTCCTATTCATCTCTGTGAACCCTATATACCATTTCCAACCCCACATTTAACCTTTTTTTTTTTTTTTTTTTTTTGCTAGAGTGCACATGCACTTGCCACAGAGAAACAGAGAGAAATAGGGAAAGGAGAAAGCACCCACCATGGAGCAAAATCATACCGCAGTCCCTTCTCCCTCCCTTCAGGAATTCTGGCACATATGCACAGGCACTTGGCATGTTTTCCAAGATAGCAGGTTTAGGACTTTAACCATGTAGTCAGCCATGTGGGATCCAGCTGCCTTAAGCACCAGGCCATGGAGCTAGTCTTGAACATTTTTGGACTCAGTCACTGTTGCCATCTGAATACTGATGGCATGCCCATAGTGATCCTACATGCCCAATCATGCAGTTGGAGTCCCAGACCCAGTGGCTTGAAAAATACAGAAGTGTGTGAATGCGAGCCTGCCCAAAATTTTGAAAGGAAGGAGAAATGGAGACATGACTACAGTGTGAACATTCCCTATGGGGACAGGGTGGGGAAGGGGGGGGCTTACTCTATTTCTCTTTTTGTCTCTCTCTGGTGAGTGCACGTGCCCTTTGGTAAAATGAAATAAAAAACGAAAGAGAAGAAATTCAGGAATACAAATACTTCAAAAAATCCAAAACACTTAAGTTTTATTGAAAAATGAGAAAATACAGAAACACCAGATTCTTGTTTTAAAATAAAATAAAATGACAGCATCTTCTAGAATTTTCCTAATACTGCCCCATTCTTGTCACTATTAAACAAAACCACATTCCAGATCCAAAATAACAAATGACCGTGCTGGTAGACAATCTTCTAGCCCCCACCTTAGTACTCTAAATTTAATATTTGTACCTTTTTAAGAATGAAAAACAGTTTCTTCTTAACTGATTAACATTTGTAAGAACTGGGACTTACTTGCTTCATATTAAAACAAAAACCACACACACCCTTAGTCAAACTCAGAGAAAATATACATTTGTTCATTAAAGCTCACCTGCTTTAGATAATCTTTTCTCTTCACACATTAGCATAGTAAGCCAATGTTTGATCCATGCTGCAAAAGCTGTACAAAATGAAAAGAACTGCTAGTCCCCCATGGAAACCTTAAGGCAAAAGCAAAAAAAAAAAAAAAAAAAAGAAAAGAAAAGAAAAGAGCCTTATGCTACAAAAGGAAAAACAAAAAGAGGCATTGGGACTGTGGAGACGGCTCAGATGAATAAGCACCACAAGGATAAGGAAGAAGACAAAATTTTGTACTAACATATGCAATTCGATAAAAATCCAAAAAGGAGCATTTATTATCCATTTCCTGCAGAAATAATGTTAGATAACTTGACTCCTGAAGCAAGTTCTGTTTGGAGTTTTTAATGAACAGAACCTTAGTCTTCTTTATTTGCCAACAGTATTGGTGCCTTGCTTAGGGCTCTTCCTTCCTCCTCATCGTATAGACCTTTGACGAGAGACCTTCTCAAGAAATCCATAGAAGATAATCTTGGTGTGTGTTGGGTCCTTCTTTGGAAAACTGTCATCTCCCTTTCCGCCCTAACACTGGGACTAACTCCAAACTCTGGGCAGTCCCTTCATGCTTCCCAGTTATACGAAAACAAATTATTTCGGCATAGAAATTTCTTTAAGGCTACAAACTTTACAAGTTGGTCCCATTAAACAATGACCTCAAGGCAGTTTTTCAAGCGGCATGAATCAAACACTTGCACATTTCAACAGAATACAGTTTACATTCATCTCTAAGTCTGAGATTAAGAAACTATTAGCTGGTTTCCAACTGGTTTCAATACTGGTTTGAAGTTTGAATAATTATACTGTGTAGACATTAAATATGTTGTTTAAATATTAAACATTAAATTTTTTCCTGACTATCCAGACAGAAATAGAGAAAGCAGGGACAACAGGCAAGCGAAGAAACAGTCCAATGAACAGACTTGTGACTTCTACACCGTCTGTAACAGGGGAGGGACTTCAGATGGGTCTCCAAAGTGCCTGGAAGCTGGTTTCTACAAATTCACCTCTACTTGGAATAAAGCATTTTTTTCCTACAAAAGATATCTGACTCCTAAAAAGGGGGAAGAAATCCAGGAAAAAAAAAAAGAATTGGGATGGTCTCCTGTTGTGTGATGAGAAGGCCAGTATTACATCAACTTGTGTAATAACTTACAGTGGATATTCTGTAGCAATAAAGGAATTGTCATTTTACTTTGTACTAGGAGTCCATACAGAAAGAGCACTTCCTGAGAAATAAACACTTCTATCCTGGATATCCCAAAAGGACATCTTGAGCCTGGTTTAGGTACTCAAGAAGATGAAGACTTCCTGTAGCAGGAAGCTATTCTCTACTAAGTTTTAGGCTTACTGCATAATAGTTTAAGCACCAAATTAGCTATTTCAGGAAATCTCAATTTCACACCTATTCTCAGTTAATTACTCACTGCTTTCTAGTGAACATTTAAAAAACTCAACTTGCTAAAACAAGTACAACCTTTTTTTCAACCACAGAAGTTATCAATGCAGATCTAGCTGATACAGCTCTCCCTTAGTATTATCGAAAGGATGCTTCTCTCGTAGGTAACTTGCAGGTTAACCTCTCAATCTTTTAAACTATCACTCAAAGTTAATTAGGTTGTAAACATTACTGAATAACTCAGCTTATCAATTATACAAAGGAAACCAAGAATCAACAGTAACACAAGGCAAAAACACCTTGAAGTAAAAACCTGTTCTTTGTATTTTCACTGCATTTTCAGAGGCAAAGAGGAGAAGCACAGTGCTACTGCCTACTTAATCGATACAGCTATATTTAATTGACAACTAATATACCGGTTTCAAAGTTTCTGTTAAATTTCCTAGCAATGGGCTTAAGCTTCTGCTAGCTTCCTACTCTCCTCCCCTACCATACATAGTCATCACTGTGTACGATAGCTCATATCTGCAGACTAAGAAACTGTAACTCAACTGTCAAGGTACAGCTGCAGAACAACCATCCTTTCTTAATCTTTTTTAGCCCAAGAGATATCCTCCACATGTCTGACTGGTTTAGACAATATGACATGACTTAAGCCAACCATACACACACAGCTTCTACACTTGCCTCTGAAAAATTTTTAACCTAACATTCCTTTAGTAAACCCCCTAGAAAACTGCTTTTCCCTTGAGACAGGCTTCCTTGGCAAAAAGCTAAATTCAATAAATGGCTACCCAAAATGAGAGTCCCACCCCAAATCACAGGTGGAGATATTACTACACCCGTTTCATCAAACTTTCAAGTCCCTATCCTGTACCAGTAGGCTCATGACTGAATGCAGAAGCCTTCTAAAATTTGACAACTTAGCAAAGAAACTGGTTTCTAGAGTTCCATCTCTTCTTCTGTGTTAGCAGCTGTCTCCAGATTATTATAAAGAGGCATCCCTGTTTGCCGAGGTTCCAAGAATAGTTCAGTTCTCTGAGGGAAGGCAGTGCCAGCAGCTACATGCTTGGTTTGGCTCTCTCCTGTGTAGTTCTTAGCATTAGATGATGGCTTTGGCTTATCAGAAAGGAGTTCAGGGAGAGGTTTCCAGAGCACGAGCTCCATGGAAGGACGGCTCCTAAGACATAAATTACAGATTCTTATCAAAATTTTTGGAGAGGAAAACAACAGCTTCATGTTGAAAAGCTAATGCTTGCTACCTAACACAGTTAAGAATCAATTAAAACAGACTTAGAACAATCTAAACGGATCTTTAGAAAGGTCACTCAAATACATAAAATTTTAGTTCTGCATGTGTTGTTTTGTTTTAGTTTTTGCCATATGGTGTGTACACTTGCCAGAGACAGAGAGAGGGGAAAGTGAGAAATCAACTCCCAGAGAGGATGGCCACACTGCAATCCCTTCTCCATTCTCTTCTCAGGACCTTGGGCACACATGCATGCATGCCCGGTGTTATTTTCAAGCCGCTAGATCTGGGCCCTGAACTGCACTAAGCCATGTGGGAGTCCAGCGCCTAACCACCATGCCACCTGCTGGTCCCTCTGTGTGCTTTTTTTTTTTTTCATAAGGGAATTTTTTTTTTTTCCATAGGGTGCATGAACTCACTGGAGACAGACAGTGAGAGGAAAAGTGAGAAATCGCCCCCTAGCGGGGATGGCCACACCACAATCCCTTCTCCTTCATTCTCCTCCTGAGATTCTGGGCACGCACACACACACCCAGAGTGATTTTCGTTTTCATGCTGCCGGGTCCAGAACTCAAACCGCAGTCGGCCATGTGGGAGTCCAACGCTGTAACCGCTATGCTACCTCCTAGCCTTTTTTTTTTTTAAAGAGATTTTTGCTATAGGGTGCATGTGCTTGCTAGAGAGACCGAGAAATAGAAAGTGAGAAATCAATCCCCAGGGATGATGGCCATGTTGCAATCCCTTCTCCTCTTTCCTCCTCTTGGGATTTTGGGCACACATGCATATGTGCCAATGTGAGGTTTAAGCCACTGGGTCTCGAACTTGAACTGGTTGTCTGCAGCTGACTATGTGGGAATTCAGTGATGTAACTATAATGCCATTTACATGCATTTTTAACTAAATTAACTGTTGTTCTGACTCTGTGATTAGAAGTAAACATCCTAAATGAAAAACAGAGTCACTGGTTGAATTTATAATGTTAAAATTTTTTTCAAAACTGTAATTAATAATTGGAGAGGTGGGTAGCTATCTTGTACTACATCATCCTAAATGAAAATTAAACACTGGACAAACTCATTGAAGGATCTTAAGATGACTTTACTTAGTTCAGTTCTAAAGTATAATGCTCAGCAATTAAGCCAAAACGATTATATGTCACTCATACAGCATTCTCCCAACTCCCTGTCAGTGACAGTTTCTGGGACCCAAAAGCAGGTAAGAAAAAAATAAAACACACAATGAAGAGCACTCAAAGTCTAGCTTCTGAAAAACTACCAAGAGTAGAAAGTGTCATGTTTTAGGCTTGAAGGCAATGTGGCCTGCTTACTTGTGACTAAACTATTTACCCATCCCAGGATTGGGTAGTTAATCAGAAATTCACGCTAGGGCACCAATGTAGAATCTCTACAATCTAACACCAAGGAACATCAGCTCAACCTCTGAGCCCAAAACAGTTCCTCTGGGTCCATCCAAGGGTCATGCTGCCTCATCTGTGTGGCATCAATGGGACTGGTGCCCTAATAGGCTTTCTTTTCTTTCTTTCTTTCTTTTTTTTTTTTTTTTTTCTTTTAGGGGGTGGGGGGAAACAG